CACCCGCGGGCACCAAATCCCCGCCCGTAGCCCTCCCCACCCGAGTCACAGTGCCAGCTCGAAGCGTGAGCAGGCACCGCCCAGCACGTGGCTGTTTCCTTCGCGAGTGGTCGTGGCTTGCTCTGGACCCTCAGGAATGAACATTTGGGCGACCCCAGCAGGGAACACCCTCGCCAGGAGGTGCATGCTGACGTCAGGGCAGCGAGCAACGGCGATGTCAGGGCGTCGCCTTAAATACTTCAGCGTTTCCGTGGCCCTGGCTGTCACCCCCATTGAGCGCAGCTGTGCTGTGGTGACATCCGCGCTGCGGGAGTGCACGCAGAGCGAGGGGTGGCAGCTCCTCCAGGAAGGCCTCCCTGCCGCACTCGTGCGCTGGTGGCAGGAGACTCGCACTCGTCCGTGTGGTGGTGAACAGGAGGGCACATGGGGCGGGGCAGGAGAGAATGGGCTAGAGCGTATCCTGCCAGGGCTCTGGAGGCCAGAAGCCCTCGGTGTCACTGGGCCACAATCAAGGCGAGGGGGCGTGTTGGGGGCGGGGTAGGGCCACGCTCCCAGAAGGCTCAGGGGACTTGCCACCCCATGGTGCCGGCCTCCACTTTGGCTCCCCTCATGAGGTCACATGGTGGCATTAGGACCCACCCACATAATACAGGGAAACCCCAGCTCAAGGTCCTAAACTTGACATCAGCAAAGCCTGTTTTGCCATGTAAGGTAATATTCACCTTCCGAGTATTATGACAAACATCTCTGGGGCTCCTTGGCAAGCATGAATCCCACACACGTTTATCTTGGAAATTTACTTTTATTCTATAAAATGATCTACCCAGAAACATCAACAGTGGTCTTCCAGCAAGATAGAGAATGCATGTTGGCTGTGAACTATTATCTCCGAAAGTTTCTTCACAAGCAAAGCAAAGACCATATATGCAGATAGGCATAACCCATGGACACAGACAAGACTGGGGGCAGGCCTGGGGAGGGGTGGGAGGAAGGCGGCGGGGGTCAATGGGGGGGAAAACGGGACATCTGTAAAACTTTCAACAATAAAGATAAATTAAAAAAAGAAAAGGAAAAGCAAGACCAGTTACTACTCACAGGTGAGTCCAACAGGAAGGAAATCCTACAAGCTGCTGTGTGGACAGCTGTGCCCTGTACACAATCAGCAACCCTGCAACCTCTGGCCCTCCAGAGGCCCGTCTACAAGGCGTGGGGAAACTAGTCACCGAGGCTGGACAGCCAAGGACACAGGGTCGGCAGGCTGTGGGGGTGACGGTGGAGCTCAGCAGAGACGCACGCACCTCACCAAAATTGGATACGTCGTGGTAGGAGAGCCGATCTACGTGTAAGGACCGGAGCCTGACAATGTCCACCCTCCTCAGGCACCTTCCTGCCGCTCGCTCATATGGGCAGCAGGAGATTCCAGGAACCCAGGCCTCCTGTGGGTGAGGTCCTCCACGTTCAAGTGTGAAGTGAAACCGTCTGCACAAGCTTCTCAAACTCATCACACTGAGCCCACACACACTGTCCCCCACGGGAGCAGCTGCGTGCCGTGTCACGGGCTGAAGGGACGTGCCCAAGGGACAGGGGCTCCCTGTCAGGCGCTGGTGCCGGGAGTGGAGAAATGTAGGTCAGGAGACGTTCCCTTCCTGGACAAGAGGCCCCACACACGGGAGGCTGCAGACAGAAGGGCCAGAGAGCCTCACATACTGGTAGCAGGGCTAACACACATCTGCAGAAACAGCCTTTTTCAGAAATGTCCTTCATTTTCAGAAAGTGTGGCTCAGTCAGGAGAGAGCTACAGGATTTTATGAATTATTTTGGCCCAATAAAAATGGAGTTATGTTTTTTCACAAATTGGATTATTTTGCCCTTCAAGATTAACACAAAAGAGAACACCTTACTACCCTTAAAAGCCTGTGTACATTTAAGACTAGCCTCTTCCCACAAAGAAAACACCCACTCAGAGTTTTGGAGGCGAGGGCTACAACTAACCCAAGAAACTACTTCTGATCTCACAGTCTAGGAATCTGGGGGAGACCCCCCAGGAGCCTCACTCAGGGAGCTTGGATATTCACAAACTGACTCACACAAGGGCTAGGGCAGGGGTGGGGAACCTTTTTTCTGCCAAGGGCCATTTGGATATTTATATCATTCACAAGTCATACAAAATTATCAACTTAAAAGTTAGCTATGAAAAAAAGCTCCTAGATTTATTGAATTTCGAGTCCTACCTGTGGTTGCCCTGGCAGGGCCGGACCAAATGATTTCTCGGGCCGTATATGGCCCAAAGGCCAGGTATTCCCCACCCTCGGGCCAGGGCAAAGACAAGACTACATCCACCAACAGAGACTATGGCAGCCATGTGTTCACAACTACTGACAACAAGCCCACCTCATTTCTCAGGGGTCCCTGGGTCAAGCCCGGCCCTAACGCCCTACCTGCAGTGAGCCATCCACTTCTGTGCTTCGTAGGGAAACAGAGGCCCCGACACTGAGTGTTTTACTCTTTTGACGGGAGGCTGAGTACAGAATGAGCATGTGACTGAGGAACTCACTTCCCACCTGTCACTCGGTGGCCTCCCAGGCCCCAGGCTGCTGACCCTCCATGGCTTAGGACCCGAGGCCAAGGATCTGGAATGAACGTGGAGATTCCTGGTAACCGGGACAGGCGCAATGGGGTCGAGAACGATGCAGCCAGGAAGCCAGGGGCAAGTCGTCCATGGCACGTGACAGCTCTTGGGAAGAAAAGTAATGGTGGTTCAGCCTCAGACTGAGTGGCTCCTAGGACTGTGCGTGTGGCCTCCCCTGGCTCAGCCATGGCCTCTGCTGCAGCATCTTCTCCTGGGGGAAGACGGGATCCCCCAGAATTCAACCCATCCCTAAGGGAAGAACTTGGACTAGTAGTTTTGAAGTATACAGATAGATGTTTTCATTGCTTTATTACAGTTTGCAATCAATATTATATATATACATATATATATATATCATTTTTAAAACAACCAGGTCTGCTAGAAAGGTGTCTTTCTTTTTCTTTGCACCCTGGGTTTCCGGAGTCCTTTACATTAAATATATTATTTTGCAGGCACTGGGCAAACATTTAAGAACCTTTGGGCTTCCAATTCAGACCTTCCCCAAATAAATCCACCTTCTCTATTATGTGGGGTATTCACATTAAAAACACTAGGAAAATACACATTCATTTCATTTTCCATAAGTCCCTTTTCTCTGTTTTCCCATAATCAAAGATGTTGGCTCAGTTATAAATTCAAAAATGCTCCCAAAGTTCTCGATGATGATTCATAGAGAAATCTGAAACACAAGGAAAGAAAAAATTAGCTACAGAAGTGGCCAAATTATCCAAATGTACATTTTCACAAAGCAAATCTAAAAATGGCTTGTGACCGAATACACATAAAAAGAAAGTTGAAACAATCAGTCACTGTCTCCCTGACTGTTCCTCCTGAGAAGGAAGCCACCGTATCGCCTTAGTGGACACAGCATGTGGAAACACTGTCAGTAAATGCAGCAGTCATCACTGTCCCCATGGCCAGCAGCTCAGGGGTCCCCAAGGAACCCTCTGCACAAATAAAATACTACTATTCAACAGGCATGCTCACTGGCCATGCTTTGACAGGTGCTCTCATGTATGAGGCTCTGAACCACAACTCGGCACACAGCTGACTCAACTACGATGTGCACACGTCCTCTCCAGCACCCACTTTTCCCCCTTCTACAGACAGGAGGACATGCTATTACCATGACACCCATTGGCTCCATCACCTGAGGCCTTCAGACATGCCTCACTTTCCTGCCCCTCCCCTGCATACCTGCCCCCCGCCCCATGACACACCCCTCCCCTGCCTGCCCCACAGAGCCAGGTGTGGGCTGGGCCTGCTGAGTTTCCCCTCCTAGGACCTTATCCTAACTCCCTGGAGAGGTCTGCTCCACATCAAGAGCCTCACTGGGCAGCTCGCATCTGCCAGTGCATCTCCCTCCCAAGACTTAAAGACACATATTTGCTCAGCATTCCCCACAGAGGGTACATGGGCCAGCTAAGCTCTCAATTCCTGCCTAGACACAAATACCAATCTTTACCCCAAATGGCATCTCCTCAGCCGGCGCCCCTATGTCCTGCTCCCAGTGCAGACGACCCACCACAGGCCCACACAGCTCTGTCTACTATCAGTACAAGCACTTGTGTAACAGCACTTTCTAGTTGCTGCAGCAAAAGAGATCAAAAGAATCAGATGAAATTTGTCTTAATATTTTTATTAGCCCAATACAGCCAACCTGTAATTAACATAAAACCACCGCTGACAAACTTGAGAATCTCTTTCATGCCGTCTCCAGAATCTGGTGCGCATTCTACACCTTGGCCACAGCTTGGCTCAGACCCACATTTCATGGGCTCAGTTTGCACATGGGACCAGCAGCCAGTGTAGGGGCCAGTATAAATCTAGAAACATTTTAAAATTTTCTTTCTATCCCTGGAATTCAGGAATTTTACTGACTTACTTAGGTGTGACTTTCCCATCAATCCCATCCAGAATTTAGTGAAAGAAACAACAAAATCTTTAAAATTACACATTTCTTCAGCTGTGGGAAATTTTCTCCCGTTGTTTGTTACATTACTGCCTGTCTTGGGTCTATTTTCCTGGTCTTTGTCCCCAAAACTTCTCTTTATCGGTATCTGTTCTGAGATATTCCTCTGATGTGATCCCTCAGACCATCTGGAATCTGATTCTCAACAGTGACATCGCTCCTGTGTGTTGGTGACATTTTTATTCAAGGGGTTTAGTTCTAGATCATGCTTTGGAGCTACAAATGATCTCTTTTTTAAAGATTCATTTAAAAAATGAATCTGCTGTTCCCGTTGCTCCTTTATTACAGCTGTTGTTCTGAAGGTTTCTCTCTAACTGCTGGGCCACCTTATGTGTGGTTGTTCTTGTCTATGCCCTGTGGACACTCAGGTGGAAGCAGAGGGGGTGGACAGTAAGAGGCACAGGTCTGTGAAAGCTGCTGCCACAGCAGTGAGCACCCAACATTCCAAATGCTCCCACAGCGCTCCAGGTCCCCCAGTCTCAGTGATGGAAAAGACAGAGCCCTCCCGGTCAGCTCTTTAGGGGCTAGAGAGACCAGGACAGTCATGACGGCCAGTGTCAGCCAGACCTGAGCTCCTGGTGGCCAGAGAGAGAGAAGCACCCTCTATCACATTCAGGAGCTGATGGACACAGGACACACCAAGTCACCAACACCCCAGTTACTCAAAATACTGTCTACTTAAGTGAGCATGAACTTAAAATACTTAAGAGAAAACAAAAGGTTGCCTTGGCAAAAGTGCATACTCTATAGAGTCATCAGCCACTCAAGTTGACCTAAGTCTAGACCAGCAAAGACATGACCTCTGGATCTTCAGCTCTGGACCAAGCACCGAGCCAGCACACAAGGGCCTTGGGGCATCACATATGCTCCTTTTATAAGCAAGGCACCCGGGGTCAACTTGCCCAAGACCAAACCACAGATAAGGGCAGAATTTGGGCTCAAACCCAAGCTGTCTGTCTTCTGACTACCCTAAGAGCCTTGCACTAAAAACATTCAGCTATATTTTATATTTATTCACGCTCCTATTATGCGGGAAAGGGTTGATACACTATGTAGACCAAAAAAATAAATATTATTATAGGACAAAATGAATGAAACCTGGAGTTTTAGAGCTGGAAGGACAATGGCAAACCTCAGACAAATTAAACCTTGGGCCAGGCTTCTTCTTCTTGTGTGACAAGACATTTTAACTTGGTGACGTGTCCACCCACCTGAGTCTAAGGGTCTTTAAGCACAGGCAGAAGCTGAGTGTTCACAACCCACCCCCTTGTAACCCTCCTGCCCACAGGGCTGTGCTCACATGCTGGAGAGCACCGCCACAGCCACAGACACAGCCACAGGGGAGGTCCCACTGCCCATGGGGCTGTGCTCACATGCTGGAGAGCACCACCACAGCCCCAGCCCCAGCCAAAGCCAAAGCCACAGCCACAGCCACAGTGAGGCAGGCAATCAGTTTTCTGAGAAAATATGAGATAAGCTGTGTTTTTATTATAGAGCAGTCTATTTATGTATAGTTTTTAATTATCCACACTGTTGGTAATGACAGAAGCATTCCTCAATATCTGAAAATCAATTAATGTCATCTATCACATCAACAGGCTAAAGAAGAAAAATCAAATGATCATATCAATAGATGCAGAAAAACTACTGATAAAAATCTAGTACCCATCATTCATAATAAAAACTCATGAACTTGGAGCAGAGCATGTTCTCTACCATCGACTTGATAAAGAACACGTACGAAAAACCTACAGCTTTCTCATTGGCTTACTGGGGAGAGATTGGAAGTCTCCTACTAAGATCAGGAACAAGGCAAGGACATCCCTCTTGCCACCCTTTCCAACACTGCGCTGAAAGTCATAGCTAATGCAATAAGGCAAGAAAAGGAAAGGCAAGGTGTGCAGACTGGGGAGGAAGAAACAAAGCTGTCTTCACTCGTTAGCTATTAGCAATTCAGGATTTTGAAAGCCCTTCTCCAAGGAGAAAGGGGCTAGTTCCCCGGCATCTAGAAATCGGACTACCTGGTTCAGAGCTCTGTAAACAAGTTCACAAAACAGCAGGAAAAACACTGTTTCTGTGGCTGACCTGAGGGTCAAATCCATCGTAAGAGCATCTGACACTGCACAGTCCGTCACAAACAGTACAGACGTGTGGCCGGAGGTGCCCAGTGAACATGTCCCAGGCAGCAGGCCACCGGCCACCCGAAGGGAGGAAATCACACGAATCCCTTCAGTCTCTGGAGGAACATTCCCATCCCTAGTGTAAATGCTTGCGGAAGGGGAAATTATCTTAGGAATGCTCATAGTTTCAAAAACAGAGCAAACCATCAAAAATAATCTGTAAAATAAGTTTGTATGCCCTTACTTTCCTGGATCATATTTTGCAAACAAACGTTTTTTGTTTTGAAGACAGAGATAGAAGTAAATTAAACATATGATCCAGGGGTTTTGCCAATAAAATGTTCCTATCCTTACAATCCTGTTTTCTAACTACCTGGCTGCAGGTAGGAGCAAGCACGTGGTGTGAAATACACCTAAGGGAGAGCCAGCACTGTCCAGCACGGCTGCGGCAGGGGCGCGGCCTTACCTCTGCAGGCTGTCCTCTTCCAAAGTGATCTCCATGAATGTCTTCAGTTTTCTGTGAACAGTGGCTGCAACATCCTTCACTTTTGAACTTTTATGTTTACCTATGAGTATATTACAGAGAGAAAAAAGACTTTAACATGACCACACAAGACAATCACCTCTGCATCAATGCAGGCACAACTTCAACATGACTGAGCCCCCTACTCCTTCTGTGGAGCTAACCCACTTATTGCCTGTGGACAGGACTGACCCCCCACAGGGAAGAGAGTGAGGATCAGATGCTGATGAAGCTCCTCGAAGCTTGAGGCAGAGAGAGCTCCGGTGAACTCCACCCGGGAGCCTGCCCATCAGAGTGCATGCTCACCTGTGCCTCCACCAGGATGACACCTACTCCATTTCAAAGTCCACCCACTTAGCAAATATTTAAGTACCTATTAAGTACTTGGTGGTCATCAGCAACCCAACCTCCATTCTCACCCCCTCCACAAGGAGGAGACAGTCCTCCACCCTGCAGATCTCAACTTGGGACACTCCCTTATGGGAGGCTTTTCTGATGCGTGGCCTGGGGCAAACCAGTCACAAAGTATTATCCTAAGACTGCAGACATAAATGCACTCAGGCTTATGGGAGAGCTTGTTTCAGTGGGAGTGCCCTCTAGGTATAACACATTATCTTAGAAAATAATCTCAACATTATTAAAACTGAACAAAGACTTAGGTTAACAGCACTCCATCTGCAGGGCGCTGCTGCATTGCACGCTGAGGGGAGCATTTTACAGCTATTTCCAGGTATTTTCCCAGCACTATTTCCTCTGACTGGGAAGGTCACATGGGCAAGGCGAAGGCTTGCGCAAATCAGCAGGTACTTTCAGCATCAATCCCAAAACACACCACTAGCAAAAACATATTCAGATTTTTAAACATACATAACAAATGACAAATCCATAGAAATTCAATTCTGAGGCACAGGAGGGACGCATAATGGGTCCAGTGGGGAAAGGTGATGGGGACAGGAACTGCATTAAGCAGCTCAAGCCAGCAGGTTACCGGCGGGTGCAGGCTCAACCGAGTGGAGCCAGGCAGACAAGTGTCAGAGCAGGGGACCATCACACACGGGAGCTGAGTTCCTAGATGCTTCAGAACAGTTCTAAGACAGAGCCAGCAATAGCCCGGACAATGTAAGAGAATTTTAACCAACCTTTGTTAATCACCAAAATAATATGCATAACAGCCGTGAGACACACAATTCCTTCAATATCATCAGAAGTAACACATGCCTTTAACTCATCTAAAAATGACCTGCAAAAAACAAACATCTGAAATTACTTGATCATGTACAGCCTAATACTTGACAGAAGACAAATATAGGTAAGGCTCATCAACCACCGTGAGTTCTAGTTCCCACACTTTCCACTGTAAATACGTCAACCCCACAGGTGATACATCCCAACCAGAATGGGACCTTCTGGTAAAGTGACGGAAGCTACTCTGTATGTCCACAATACACACCAGACACGGTACACACCACACACGATATACATAAAAACTTAGTATGTGACTGGAAGATAACATACAGCTGCTAAAAACAATGCTTTCCAAACTTTTCATTGAACTTATCTGCTATTAAAGTTCCACAGGTATCTGCAAAACTATTCTTCCTTTAACCCATCAGTCCTGTCTGTGCCACAAGCCTAGATCTTAGGCGAATGAAGTGGGCTGGACAAATGGGAGAGCGGAGTGCCCAGTGGAAGCCACGCCAGTGTCTCGCCCAATCAAGTTCTGGGAGCACACAACACACAGTAACCAGTATTTTACACATGGACATTCTAAATGCCTACCTTTAATTGAATTTTAGTTATAAGGAGCATAACTAGAGGCTATTTGAATGTATTTTACAGAAAGTTAGAGAAATTCTACTTTACATAGTAAGTATAATGTTACATGGTATTTTATGTACTATTTACAATGTATTAGCATACAGTACAATGTAAATGTTTCAGTGTAATATAAATATTTTACATTGTAAGTATAATGTATAGCATAATGTAAATGTTTTTAGCCACTGATAAAAAGAGAAAATTCTATAAAATGTTTTTGTCACAGAGAGAGCCAAGCTCTGAGAAGTTCTGAGAGAGAGGAACAGCACAGTCAGCTCAGGGATGCAGCCACAGTATGAGTATCATGATACTGAAAAAGGTTACCTGACCACACTCGGAGATTTTATGATGATTCCTATTAAACACCTTGAAAATGGAGGCAGGTCTGAAAGGCACTCTGGGGGCGCCAGCTCCTCTACGTCAGAAACCTAAAAACAGGTTTTGAGTCAGTAACTTATCAGTTGAGACGGAGACATAAATTATTCCACACGGCTTTGGGTTTTCTTCAACGCTTGAGAAAGGCTTTTTCCAGAAACTCAAAAAATGATTCTACTAACTTGAAATTTCCACAATAACTTTGATTAACCTATTATTATATACAAGGCGTCTTATTTAGAGCAAAGAAAAAAGATCATCTCAACAAGCCTTCCGTCAAACAGTCTCTAACCTGATATCACCTTCTGTAAATAACATTTTATGCTAAGCATATTTAACTCATGTTATTAGTCCAGACCCAGTTTTCTCCATTTCAAAATTACTGACATTTTGACCAGAGAATTCCTTGTTGTAGGGGTGCCTTGTACCCCACAGGGTCCTGAGCAGCACCCCTAGCCTCTACCTAGCAGCTCCCTCTCTGGCTGTGAAAATGAAAATGGTACCGACATGGCCAATGTCCTCTTGAGGAGCAGTGAGGACCAAGGCTCTGGGCTCACAACGGGCCTTGCCAGGACTTCTGCCCTCTACCACTGTGACCTTACGGTTTAAGGTCATCCATTACCAGAAACAAACTCCACGTGCACATGGCTCCAGGAAGTCTCCATCCAGAGCCCTCCAGCTGGGGCGTGAACATGCCCACCCATCCTCATGTCGCTAGCCACTGTGTTCTGCCTATTTTGTGGCTGCCTTAGGGAATTCCACTCAGACAACTAGACAGCACTCCTGACAAGCCTTCCTCCTCATGGTTCCTGTGGGGACTCTTACATGTGGAACAGCACTGTTTCATTAAAATGCTTTACCTCTCAAATGTTGTAAGTGCATTTCTGATACAATGACAAATGACTCGACTGGGTAATGTGGACACGTGTCTGGAGACTGAGCACAGATAGAGAGAGGGTGACAAGTCAGGTTGGAGGGGACAGGAGGTGCAGGGGCAGCACACGCTGGAGGGAGGCTGAGGGTGACACAAGCACTAAAATCTGGAGGAACCACGGAAAATTAGCAAACGATCCTGGAAAGTCAACAGAGGGGACAGAACAGTACAAACACTTGATTCATCAAAGAGTAGCAGGAAAGGAAGAAAAGTGGGAGGGGGGGCTAATAAACAAACATCAAAATGGTCAACTTAAACCCAAGCATATCCATAATTCCATTAAAATCAACAAATGAAGCATCCAACTTAATGGCAGAGGTTATATGACTGGATTAAAAAAAGATCCGCATGAGGTGCTTATTGTGCAGAGTGAGGAAAGCCCGAGAGAACAGACTGCGTGATGCCGGCTGCAGACAGAGACGAGTCCCTCAGGCAGGCAGGAGCCTTAGGGTGCAGGCACCTCCTTATAAAGCTCCCAGATGCACGGTGGGAAAATCCAGTGCTGACCTGCACTGGGGACAGGCAGACGGACAAAATCAGTGAGAACACAGAACAGAGGTCTGCAAACTTCTCTAAAGCGGTAGGTAAACAGTGAGTATTTTCAGCTTTGTGGGCAAATGATCTTCACACCTACTCACCTCTGCCCTTATAGCACAAAGCAGCCCCAGAAAATACGTCAAGAACAGGCCAGCTGGTCTCCAAAGTAACATATTTACAAAGGCAGAGGGTGGGCCGTTCACTGGCCTCTACTATTGCCAGCTGTTCAGCACTGAAGAGGGTAAGCTCTGGCTCTCACTCTGTGAAGTCTAGTAATGATTTCCCTAAACCAAATGACTTCTCCTTCAAGTTCTAAGGAGGCCTTAACGCCTATCAGTGTTTTAAATTCAGTTCACATTTGTTTATCCTCACCTGAGGGCATTTTCTCACTGATTTTTTAGAGTGGAATGGAGAGAAAGGGAGAGAGACAGAGGGATAGACAGAGAAAGAGGGAGGGGGGAGGGGAAGGGGGAG